AGTTTCGGAAGCTAGCGGGTCGCACCCTCGGGAGGCTGCACCGGTGAGCGTGGTGGGGGTCTTGCGGGGAGAAGAGCACGAGGGTGCGAGGAGGATGCTTATTCCCACCTGGGTGCGGACAGACAGGTGGACGGGCGATAACCGTGGATGGGGATCCCCCCATCTGTCCAGTTTTCTCCCTCCGCCTCCGACGGCACCGCTCTCCCTGGCTGGATGGGGTCCATCATCTCGGTTATTTTTCTTCGCCCCACACCGCTCCGGGTTCTACCCTTTTCTCTGGGACTGTATGCCAGCCTCTCTCTGGGTCTCTGACCCCACGCCCCACTTCTGGCTGTCCACCTATCTTCCCTCTGACTCCTTTCTCCGGACCTCTGTCCCCCTGTCTCTGATTCTCTGGCCATTGCTCTCACTAGATCTCTATCAACCTGTCTTGGGGTCCCTGTCCCTCCCTCTCTGGGTCTCTGACTCTCTCCTTTTGGGTCTCTGTCCCCTCTCTTTGGGTTTTTATCCCTCGGCCCTGGGTCTCTCCATCACTGTATCTTTCTCTCAGTTTCAGTCGCTCAGAGCGTTAATCTGAAGCTAAAGCGGATTGGGGCCCATTGGTCCTTGTCCTTGAGGAGAGTTAAGCTGGGAGGAAGAAGCCATGATGTCCTGGGTCTCTGAGGGGAGAAGAGAGTTGAGGACCAAACATCAGGCCTCCGAAAGGGTACCCGCTAGAGCTAAAAGGGACTTCCAGCCAGGGAGATGACTCCAGTGACCTGGGTGTCCCCAGGGCAATCTGGACACCTCCCTCCTGTCTTTCACCCCCAACCCCAAGCCTTGGCTCCAAGTCAGAGAAATTACTCAGCTGCGGAGAGCCTAAAAATATCTGGCCACAGTGCGGGAGGAGATTATTGCCTTTCCCTCAGACCCTGTCCCGGTCGCCCACAGCCCTGGACCCCATCTTTAGTTGACACTCCATCCATCTCACAAGGCCGTGCGAGTCCTTCTCTAAGTCTAACATGAGTCCTGCTCGCTGCAGATCACCTTCTAGCTCCAAAGTCACCCCACCCTCTAGAAACATGAAAGATAGGACTAAGGCTGGACAGAGGGAGGGGGCAGGAGGATGGAGCAGGGAGGGGGAGGGGGTGGCGACGCTGAGATAACCTCACCCCTGCTTTTCCCAATCTTCCAGCCCCTCCCCACTCTTTTTCTCGCCTCCTTTCACGAGTTTCTCAAAATACATCAGTGCGAAGTCAGGAGAAGGGAGAGAGACGTGCGGATGAAGCAGGCTGGGGTTGGGGGGTGGCGAGGGAGGGATGTGTTCCTTAGGCCCCCTTCCTCAGTCTCTGCTTCTCAGCTTCTCATCTGTGTCTGGGTTTCTCTGGGTCTGTCTCTGCCTGACTCTCACCTCTCCAAACTGCCTCACGGGCCCCTAGAGACCCCAGAGCTCCAGCCAGGACAGTCACCAAAGAATCCGATCTGAGAAGACATTTGCATCTGAATCCTGGGGTTCACTGTGACGGCTGGAGAGAGGCGAGATGCCCTGTATTGGACACATCACTCTAATTCTATTTAATTCTCTACGCAAAGCTGGGGAAACTGAGGCTCAGTTTGAGGAGGGGGAGGAATCAGTGGGTGAGTGAGCACCAGCGCCATCTTGGAAACCCAGGTCAGCCCCTTCGCAAGCTTGGGGTGGAGGCTGCAGATTTTCCTCGAGAGGAATGATGCTAGAGTGGGTGGAGAACTCCTTTAGACCAGGAAACAGACGGTAAACCAGGTGACTTGGGACAAGGACGTAGGGGAGGGGAATGCAGGAGACACAGGAGCCAAAGTGCCTCCTTTCTGAGAGCCAGGCCTCGGGCAAGGCGATGCTGGGGCCAGGAGGTCATCAGGCCCCATCGCTGTTCTCGTGAGCGACCTTAGATATGCTACTTCCGCTCCCTGAGCCTCGGTTTCCTTCGTTGTACAATGGGGAGAGAAAGAGAGAAGCAAAGGGGCGTATGGAGACAGTGACATGGGGGACAGAGGACCGGAGAGAAGCAGAAACAGAGATCCAGAGATATCTGCCTGCTAAGCCCTGCTTTTCCTCATCACCAGGTCTCCAGACCCGAGTTCCAGGCGTCCTGGGAGGGGAGTTTCCCCTCCTCGTTCTTGTCCTCTGAAAAGCATCGGGGGGCACCTTCATCTCCGCTGCCCGG